AAAAACTCTGCTGTGGAGCAGCAGAGGGGGACGGAGAAAGACAGACAGGGACGGGGAGCAGGGCAGAGAAACGGAGAGAGAAAATAAGCGGTGGGGAGCAGGAGGGGAGCGGTAGCGGTCCGCGGGTTCGGTTCCCGAGGGTGCTGGTAGCACTCCGTACACGCTCCCCCGCCCTTTTTTTGCGCCGCTTGGTTACTGGTGTTTTCTAAATCCCACGTCCTTCGGCCCGAGTGATGGACCTGCTGGGATTCAGCCGTACCCAGGGAAAGATGCTGTCGGATCCCCGCGTCACCCCGTGCCTACCCGACCCTCGATTCTTTTGAAGCAGTTCGTCTTCACGAGATTGAAGACAAGCAAGCAGTCCCCCTGAGAGCAACCGGCTTTTAGAACAAGCCTGTGCAGGACAAGCAGAAAGCTCTTCCTAAATCATAACAGCTTAAGTAGCGTTTACTCGCATGAAGCTGCAACGTGGCAGTGGCAGTGAGAGGCTAAGGACTGGGAACTGACTGAACAGGATTCCAAGAAGAGGAGAACCATCTTTCCCTCGTTCATGACACCATCCTCTGTCTAAAAGTTTGACGACTGTAACATTTCTGTGGTCTGCTGGTTTCCCTTCAGCTGAGACAAAAGCATCAGCCAGATCTCGGGTCCACAGGCAAAAGCACAGCATACATTTAAACGTGCAGATGCAGCCTTACAGACCTCTGGCTTCTTGTTACCCGGTGTCTCGGGCACAGCTGTTGCTGCTGTGTTCTAGCTGCTCTCATTTTACAGCACTTCTGTCATTGGTCTGATCTACATGTTACGTTTCAGGCAAACTGAAATCGCTTTTTTTGTGCGTTCATGTTACCAGTGGTAACTGTAAGACCCAACACCCGAAAGCACGATCAGTGTTTGCCAGTGGGAAGTTTCCATTTAAATAGTAACACCTAAAAGCACGTGACTTCCTCTGAGCCACCCCCTGCTCTCCCGTGCCAGGGTCTTCAACACAAAAGCTGCCAAAGCCAGGTCTAGATTTCTGCAAGTTTACTGTCTTTATGAACTTTTCTCCTCTGTCAATACATAGCTATGTTAGTTTTGCAAAAGGCTTTAATCAGATGTGAAAAGCAGCTGTGAAAAGGTAGTATTGTATATACAAAGTAGTTTGTAAAATACACATATACGTGACCCATCTTCTTTCATAATTGCAGGCCACATCCAGC